ATGGCTCCTCTTTTGTTGAGAAGTGAGTTTTTAATCATGCTCAATATGGCTCCTCTTTTGTTGAGAAGTGAGTTTTTAATCATGCTCAATATGGCTCCTCTTTTGTTGAGAAGTGAGTTTTTAATCATGCTATATATGCGTTGAAATCCAATTGTCGCTGGATTCTTTTGTTCGGCAGATTTTGATCAAGAAATTGGCGGGGTCTGCAAAAGATGGAATAAAAAATTTAGCTCAATATGGCTCTTCTTTGCGTTGAAATCCAATTGTCGCTGGATTGGGATACTTGAGTTAAGTATGCTGTCATCATAACAAGGATGTAAGTAATAATGGGATGAGAAAATTCCAGTTAATCAATATTAAAAAAATTAGGCTAAAATTATAGGACTTTACCCATAAGGGAGTCCTTCCAGAAATTCTCAAAGGCTCGAGTTGAACCCAAGCCTAAGAGGGGGTTTGGAAATAGTTTTCAACCAGCAATAGACGCGCCTCAGTTAGAACCTCACTAGCTGCGTCATTGCCCCAAGCGCAAAGATGATATACAACATAGGCTAAACTTGTTTTTATATAACTTCAAACTCATATAATTCCTCTCATTAGCAATACGGGACTAGCAATATCTGATGCCTAACGCTCTTTGTGTATGTTTGCCTTCAGTTTCTTGGTTTTGATCTTTTGTCCATGGATATGCTACATACCTGTATATTCTAGCTAGCTCGGCCATCCACCATGCTCATATAACAAAGTGTATGAACATAATATCGGTTTTTGCATTTTGATGGTTTTGCTATATATACTTTCTTTTAGAAAATTTGGTATCCGTCTTAAGGATCGACTAGTCCGAAATGCTATATGTATGGGAGGCTAGAACTCCACATACTTAGGATATGTGCCAAAGCTGGAAAAATGCACATACAATCATAGTATCCTAGTAGTTCTGCTGTACAGTAAGGGTACACAATTTTTTGAAGCAAAACGGAGATGTGGTGCAGTCCTATTAGTTATGATTGGATTATTAATTTTCCCGAGTTGAATATATATTTTCATATACTAATTGTGTCTTGGTTTTGGATTTCATTTGTTTGCTTCTTCATCTTGATTTTCTGGTGGTGGAGACAAGTTTTTGATTATATAGGACATGAATTTGTTGCTTCTATTTGATTATATACAAATTGACTGTGCAAAATTGTTTCTAGTGTTGGCAATCAGCAAACCACATTAGTCATCAATTATTTGTCTCCTCTGCTGCCACATAGGTTCATGATGAGTATAAAATTTGGTGATGTTTAATGCTTCTTAGATTACATGGCACTCTTGCATACACAACCAATTTGTCCATTACTTTGTTCTAGTAAATGTAAATTGCTATTAAATAAAAATTATATATAATTGCTATTGTTGTCCTGTGTAATAAAGCAAGAATGTCTGTCACAGAAGTTGATCAAATTATTGAAGATGGATGGAGAATTTAGAGTGAGTGAGCATCCCAAACGAAGGTCATTAGAAGAAGTTTGACACTAGAGTGGGAGGGGGCCGCGCGAACACAGACCCCCACAGCAAGAAATTATGAACCTTCTTGATCATCCATTGACCCCATCCAGGTAAGTATGTTGCAATGTACCACACACATCTCTTTTATACCTCATGTTCCATACTATTCACTCTAACAATTCCGATGTGGGACTTATCATCGCATACTGCGCACTATTATACCTGCATTGCATCGTACTTTTGCAAGCTGTGCATATCTATCTATATGCTTACATGCGAGGAATTTTACACTAATTGTCGCCTCCATTAGAATCCAAATAGACAAAGTTTATATAATCATATTGCAAATGTTGAGTCCAGATAATTTTTGCACAATTGTTGATATGTGTTTCAGGTTATGACAAAAATAGTTAAAATTGGAATTTGTGAATTCTTGCAGAATGTGAATATACTAGTTGTGTAGAAATCTTCTATTGTCTAATTCAAAAAGTTGTTGCGGAAACACTTAATAAATTTTTTTGCTTCTAGATCTCATTTTTCTTTCTGTTTTTCGAAATTTAGAGTCCAACTCCTTCAATGCCTAGAGGATCAATTTAACTCTTGCATTTGAACTACCTTGAAGGCTTACATGAGTTGAAGAGTGCAATGGTGTTGAATGTTATTCATGTGTTGATTATTGAGGTTTTGTAATTTTATTTATTTTTTGCTTTAGTTGGTCTAATTGTGCCTTTTGAGCCCACTATGATAAGTTTCTTTCAATGAAAGATGTCAGAAATACATCTTAACAGTAGCACACAACATTTAATTATATAATTTTAGAATTTTCATTAATTCTTCTTATTTGATCACTAATATCCTTCAGCATACTTATTTATGCACAATTTGCCTAATCATTATGCTCATAACTCGATACTAACTTCCAATCTACTCTACTATCAAGCCACTAAAATCAAAGGCCAACGCACTTTCAATATTGCCCTTTCCTTTCAAATAATTTACACTTCAAAAAGGTTAATTTTGTCTTTTCATAATCAAAGACAATTATTCCTACTTCAAACAAATCTTCTACCTACACGTGGCACCCATTTCAACTTTTTCATTTCCCGGTTCCTCATTCAAACCTTTTCTTTCTCTAACCCTAGACGACACAACATTTTCCTTTACTCCATCTCTACCATTTTCTCTCTTCTCTCTCTGCCTCCAAACCTAGCGCCGCCGAAACTCTGTGAAACATAAGACGAAGCGAACTCACAACCACGAAGATCTTCGTCTCTGATTCTATGGTATGGTAGAAACTCATCTTCATCCCTTCCAAATCTCTTACTTTACCATTATTTTTGTTGCATCATCAACTCAATGAAAACACTACAACTGTTATCTCCCATCTTGCTTTATTTTCAACATCGCTGAAGCTAACTCAAGGTATGTTCCTCACGATTTTCCATTCATTTTAGTTTTTATGTTGTTTTGGTTTTCATGTTTTGATATCTTTGATTTTAACTATTTACATGTTTATCAACTATTCATCAACTGCGAGCTTCATTCATAGGGAAACACTTGAGAAAGGTACGTTGAATCCATTTCGGATAATCATGCGTTTCTGCATTTCGTGTAACCCATTTTTGTTTTTGTTGAATTATTGTTTTCGTTGACCGTTGATTTTAAGTTTTTCGTTTTTGTTGTCCAACAAAGATTAGCTTAAGAATCATTGATATTTGGACAATTCAACCATCAAAACTCATTTCTCTCTCTCTCTTGTCATGTTCAAAAAATTTCTTTCCTACGGGACACCAAGAGGTAATGAAAATTTCTTTGCCATCCTTCTCATGAACAAAATATTTGCTCAATACTCCTCTTCTTTTAACTCTATTTTTATTTTCTAATTTGCAATTTCTTTGTTCTAAACAGATTTTCACACTTTGAGTTCTATAAAAGTATGTTCATGTTTCGATTAACATTGAGTTCAATGACTTTTTGTTTTTGATTTTTCGTTTTTATAGTTGATTTGAGTTGTACACTACTTATCTAAGGTTTTGTCACAACTCCTCTCTCAGAACAAGCTCATGAGATTGTGTCATTCTTTAAATGCTATCACAACTCCTCTCTCAGTACAAGCTCATGAGATTGTGTCATTCTTTAAATGCTATGTAAAAAGTAAACAGATGTTGGATATGTAATGGATATCTTCTCATGCAAAAGTTCAATAACATATAGGATCAAACCTTCAATAACAAATATACTACTTAGATTTATAATTCAATTAAGTCTTATATTAAGTAGTTTTATTTTTTATATATGTAGTATTGTAATTTCCATTTGTAACATATAGCATGTTGATTGCTCACAAAACAACATTCATCAAAGACTTCTCAGTCATTGGCAGCATAATATTCACACCTACCTAGGTATACTACTTGATACATATTTGTTATGGAAACACTACATAATTTGTTATAGCATGCACAAAATCTATAGTGAATAATTTTCAACTTAAAGTATTTGGGCTGCTAATTACAAGCTTGTATGGAAACACTGCATTAAGTCGATTTGCAAATACATTCAAATATGTCCATCAAGATATGCAGTATACCTCTAACGAAGTTAGTTGAACAAAACTACACTGGCCTTTTCTGTTTTAAGAAAATCAATGCTACTTTTTTCCACACAGGATTCCACCAAATGATAAACCACATCGCGGGATTTTCCACTGAGTTCAGTTTCAGATTCACACCATGATAATGTTTTATGCGTATAGAATGACCAAACAATCTTTTAATGAAACAATGATTATACAGAATGCTATGCTACATTGATCATCATTATATTGCATTGTATTCTCTTATTTAATATTAACTATTTGCAAGTTTGTTTATAAAACAATAACAACAATATGAGACAAATTTACCCATGCATGAGTACTGGTATGTTACTTATATGGATAAGTAAAATGTGTATTATCATATTTTGTAGTTATAGAATCTTATAAATGAATGAATGGATAAAATCTTTTGATACATAATCTCATATTTTTTCTCTGTTCTATTTTCTAAAATTATTACTTATGTGCATAACTTTGCTCTCCTTATTAAATTAAGATTAAATTATAGTTTTTTTTTTCCCCTATTATGTCGTACTTACGAAATTAATCTTTCTATTTTAATTTTAAATAGTTTTGGCCCCATCTCCAATTTTAATTCAAAAAATGCTGATATGTGAAAAAATTTCATATGTGGCACTTTTTAGATGATGTGGATGACACTAATTAATTTTTTAATATTCACGTTATTTTGTAAATTTATTATTAATTAATATTCTTTTATTCACGTTATTTTGTAAATTTATTATTAATTAATATTCTTTTATCCACGTTATTTTGTAAATTTATTATTAATTAATATTCTATTATAGAATATATATTTAATATTTAATAATTATTTTTTTTAGAAATATTTATTTGAAAATTTATTCATGCAAATTTTAAAATACTCCATGTGTTTCGAAATAATTATCTTAAACAAAGGGAGTAATTTAAATTTGTGTTTGTTATATAAACACTCGATGTAAATATAACAAAACCGATGTAAGACCCAAGACCAGAAACATGCACTCATCAGCAGAATGCTTCAACATGCAAAATATATTTACATTGACTCATCAATAATGTCTCAACACTATTAGTAGCAATCTGTCCCGGTGGAATAAGAGGTCTTAGTTCAGCAAACCCTCTCACATTTTTGAACTTTTTTGTGCCCCTATTACTGATATTTTCATGACAAAGTAGTGGCTATATATATCATTAAAAATTCCTTTTTGTTGTGTGCTAGTAGCCAAAGTTGAAGTATAAAATGATGTTCTAACTTATTACCTACGTTGTTGATTGAATTAGTAAAAAAGAGAACATGTTTTCAAAGAGGTATCTAAAACATTTCAAAAGTGAAACATAATGTGAAATGAAGCCACACAAAGTGTATTTTCTGTATCAATTCCTAATCGGTAATAATATCACCATCTTCTGATT